GAGTTCGATATCATTATCAAGCTCGAATCGAAATCGAACCATGATGCAGAGTAGATCTATCATGCTGATAATCCAGAGACCAACCAACATTGACCTCGAATCAATTCGAGGGCTCGAGCCAGGATCGGGCTCGAACCAAGATCAAGAGCTCGAGTCGAAATCAAGCTCAAACCAAAATCGAGGGCTCTAAGCAAGATCGAGCTCGCAGACAAAAGCCGTTGCAATCCCACTAGAGAGAATCTTGGCAGAAATTGTGGAAAAACTAACTTATCATGGGTCTCCCACTGAATGTTTATTTTATTATGCTTAGAGCCAAATCCCTCCACTATAAAAGGGTTTGGTTACCATTTCTGTAGGACAGGTTTTTCTCAGGCTTACATTGTAATAAAAACGCTATATTCTTCTACAGTAAAGAATCGTTCTTTCATATTTCTTAAATTGATTCTATTTGTTGAGTCCTAAGATTCATTGTTCCTTACAATCTTATCTGTTTCGCATTCTTTGCAATCCATATTTACATTTCTATTTATCCTTACAATTTGTGTTAAGTTACGCCACATATCCTCGGAACTACGTATAAATTCAACTCTATCCATTTTTCGGGTAAACAGACATAAAGTAATATCATCTTAAAGTTTAGTCTTTCCTTGAGGCTTTATTTCCAAAAAATTTCAGTATTGATTAGTTGTGTATGGGCAATTTGATACCTACTAGTTTAAAAATGAAATTATGGTGCATGAATCAAGTGTGCCTCAGCGGCTAGTGTATGGGCACACTCTTGTGGTAGCTAACAAGGTGTTGACATTAAATTTGAGACTCGAGAAATTCCTTAAAAAATTGACACTAAAGATTGATTTTGATTTGAAAGCATAGAGGGATGGAGGGCTTATCATGGTCGCGTAATTTAACTTATGGGGAAAATGAAGCTTCCTTTGTGCTACTAAAGAACATAGAGTGATTTCAGTTATAACGAAAGAAGATTTTGGATGCTATATTTTAGGTTCATATGTTCATATCCATGATAGATGAACTGCCAGAAAGAAGCTGTTTTCCATGAACAACAAAGTTCGAGAGGCTGAGTAGAACACTTTTGAGGGCTGATTTTAGCAACTGAACTAACTTGTGTTATGTCACTAGTGAGAAATTACTCATTTCTTTATTTGTTGCGACTTTCTTTTCTCTTCTAGTACTGGTCAAATTCTTGCACCAAATTTGAAAGGTTCATATGCATACTTAGATATCCAATCAGGAGAGAAACAAAGGTTCTAAGATACCTTGGACAGTAAGTCATTCCTCCAGTCAAAAGGTGGAGAATAAAAAGCGAGTAATAGAGGAAAGTGGGATCGGAAAAGGAAATTTGGTTATGTTGTCTTAGAGTAATCTTGCAAAGGAAGTTCATTGGTGTCATACAAGATCATGATATGTCACTTAAGTAAGAAGTGATTGTTACCACCTGGTCATCGACTGATGGGCTTTACTTCTACTTTATCAGCTGTTCCCTGTCCTCTAAGAGAAAATTTATCCCTTTATGGGTGCTTCTACGTTGGGTTAAGTGTGTTGCTGGTGGTCACTGAAACTGCTTGAGTGATGAGGTTGAGTTCTCTAAGCTTCATACTCTGTGTTCTATGTTAGTATTCTTTTTCCTCCAAAGGGACATTGATTTTGTTTTCTTCGCTATACAAGTGTAGACATGTGAACAATATTTCCTGTTCTTGTCTTTATGGATAATTGGTATTTTAAATGTTACATCACGAAGCACTCTGACAGAAGTTCCTTGTAGTTGGACAAAGCTGCTGCCATTCTTGCTGAACTGAAGCAGCCCGTTGTCATTGCAAAAGTGGATGCTGATAAATACAGTCGTGTTGCTTCAAAACATGAAATTGAGTATGTCTGCTTTATCCATATAAGTTATTACTACAATTATTTTGCTAAGTCATTTTCTCAATGTGCAACTTGTTTTCTGGTTAAATTAAGTTGCTCGAACCAAAAGAAGAGAATAAGATATTTTTTTAGTTTGGTAAAACATTTCTATTAGCATTCTAAAAGGATTCCCAGTTTGTGATCTTAATCAATTTGTTAGTCTTATATAGATTGCCGAAGAGTGTAGATGCATATCCTATAAAAGAACTCCTGATCCAGTATTCATCCCTATATGAAACCATTTGTGTTGCAACAGAAGGAAATGAACAAGGACACTTGTTTAAAGCGCATAGATTATCACACATACCCGCGTGCATCACACTGATGATCCTGCCTGAGCCCCTTTGCTGTTTCACTACACCTGACAGCTGCCATAATCATTCACTGCCCTGCACATCTCCCTAAACCTCTTCAGAGCTTCCTTAATCATACCTTCTTATATCCCAATTCAGAACATGATCTCAACGTTCCTTCTCTCTTTGAGACTATCCCATATCTAAGTAGTTCCGGCACTTCTAAAATGTTCGCGCATGTCTAATGCTGTTTTCTGATGTAGGATGCTCATTTTATTTGGTAAGTCCTCGTCAGAAGCAGATTAGCCAGGTCAGATAAGCAGCAACAGGCATAATTGGGGAAGTGCTGATGGATAGAAGATAATGCAAGTGGGAATGGGAACGTGATGCTGAATTGTGGACTCTGTGGTCCTGAGGATTGGAATTGGGTTCTTGTTTAATCTGTAGGGGATATTCTCTAGAGTCCCCAAGAGGCTGGATCACCTAAAAGCTTAACTTTATTTTTTCCAATCTCTTCCGTTTTCACTACAATATATGCTGAAATTCAAACATATTTTCCTTTTAGGCAGAGGATGAAAACGGAAGAGACTTTGGACTGAAGGTTTACTCGATGCTACTTTCCATGCGACAAATAAAATCAAAATAGACTGACTATACCAATGTTTATTTTAGAAATTTTGGTAATTTACCACTAGTAAATGTTTTCAGTTGTTGCCTGAGATGAATTTAAATGGTGAGACATGGTCAGTAGATCATATAGTCGACCCCAACTCGTTTGGGGTTGAAGTATAGTTTGTTTTGTAAATGTTTGCAGTTGTTTGGATAAAAAGACAGTGAAATGTTAATTTTGTTGCAATGCAGTGGATTTCCAACTTTGAAGATATTCATGCATGGAGTTCCAACAGATTATTATGGACCAAGAAAGGCAGATTTACTTGTGCGATTTTTGAAAAAGTTTGTCGCTCCTGATGTGGCCGCACTCAATTCTGACTCAGCTATTAGTGAATTTATTGAAGAAGCTGGCAAAAGTTTTCCTATATTCATAGGCTTTGGCTTGAACGAGTCTGCCATATCACGTTTGGCAGTGAAATACAAGAAAAAAGCATGGTTTTCTGTGGCAAAAGATTTCTCAGATAAAACAATGGAATTCTATGATTTTGACAAAGTACCTGCACTGGTAACCCTTCATCCGAGCTACAACGAACAGAGCATCTTCTATGGCCCCTTTGAAGGTCAGTTTATCATAGCTACTTCACCAAGATATGAAACTAATTAAAGTCATATCCCTACCTTAAAGCAAATAAGTATCAACACATAAAGGATTGTTAGCTTGCTATTCGATATAAGTTCTTTAGATGGATGTCAGTACGTTCTTGAATTTTGGTGTAGCCCCAACCTTGTTCTTGCTATATTCCCTTTTCATTTGGAACATGCAAATGACAAATCCTCGGATGTATTTATTCTTGAAAGATGTCAGTTATGTGCTTTAGTAGCTCCTCTAGTTCCATCATATGAGCTTTATATGGTGTTCCTAGTTCGTTATAACTGCTCATTTCTGCTATTGATCTGCTTTTCAACTTATTAAAGAACAACTGAGAACTATTTTTAGCTGAAGCTGTGCCTTGAATATTATAGCACAAACAATGGCTGAATCTAAGTTTTTCTGCTATAGTTGCAGAAAAGTTCCTTGAAGATTATATAAAACAGAGCTTGCTCCCTCTGGCTTTGCCTATTAATCAAGATACTTTGAAGTTGTTGAAAGACGACGAGAGGAAAATTGTTCTAACAATTGTAGAAGATGAGAATGATGAGAGGTCAAAAGGATTAGTAAAACTCCTGAAAGCTGCTGCATCTGCGAACCGTGACTTGGTGTTTGCTTTTGTTGGGTTCAAGCAATGGCAAGACTTTGCTGAGTCATTTGAAGTATCTAAGAAAATGAAACTACCAAAGATGATTGTGTGGGATGGAAACGAGGAGTACTTTTCAGTAAGCTCGAAACCTTCTGTTCCTCTCCCTGTGCAAGTGTAGTTTTGCTGCTCTTAATAACATTTGCTTGCATGCTCCTTTATCATGTCAGTTAAGTTAGCGACAGGCATGTCCTCTCTCATTTTATAAGTATATATAGAGACATGAATCTGTAGTTAGCCTAGATTGCTGTTCAGACTTTGTCTCCTTTTTTGCCAATTTCTCATCTATCAATTAACCAGCTTGTAAAGGAACATTAATTATTCATGAGTCTTGAAAGAGTTTCAGAGGTTTGCATTTTCAACAAATAATCATGAACTATGACTGACTTGATGGATTTGGTAGACATTGCCTAGCCTATGTAAGTGCTAAAAGAAAAAGAGAAACAAGGAACGAAAAGCCCAAACACATGAAGTGTCAGAAATGCGGCAGTTGGATTTTTATGCACTCTCTAGGTAGTGGATACCACCGGAAGTTTCAGGTCACAAATATTGTAGGGCTCTGGCAATTGGTTAAAACCATTCGGCATGATCTTATTCTGGATCTTGGTTCTGCATGAATTTGTAAGTTGTCTTTGTTTCTTCTATGATCATGTTTAATTTGATTCATGAGGAGTATAAGTCACTTTTAACTTTTAGATTTTAAGCCTGCTTGGTTTTAATAAACTAATAAAGCACTACATGAAAATCATAAGTTGATTTTAATTTGAAATCTTATTTACCTAGTTCAAACATATTTCAATAGGTTTTAAGATTTACATGCTCCTATTCTCTGGAAGAATGGATGCACCTTGAAGAAAATTTTGAGTGTTTTATCTATTTTTGAGATGGTTGTGATGTATCGCATAGTGTTGGCAGGCTTAAGAAACATACATTAGGTTCAGACACTTCATCCTTCCGTTGTTAAGTTTCTAACACTAGACACCATACCATAAAAAAGACATTTGTAACTTGTTTAAGTTTTGGACTAAGGTGAAACCATAACTGACTTTATATGGTGATGGTGATACGAATTGATTTTTATATACGGATATTGACATTTACACAAACAATAGGTCATTGGCTCAGACAGTGTTGAAGAGGAAGATGAGGGTTCTCAAATTACGCAGTTTCTTCAAGGATACAAGGAAGGAAGTGTTATTCAGAAACGTATCACTTCAGATTCTTATAAGGCTTTGAGAAACTCAATGATTGGGATCGGAGCAGTTATTCTTGTTCTCGTTGTGCTACTGGTGGTTACGGTCATGCAGTCTCTTAAAGAGGAGCCGTCAAGAGACCAGGTAGATCATCCAAGTAGCTCCGCCGCATCTCCATCAGAAGCCAGAGAAGCACTTCGTTCTGGAGACAAAGAAGACAAGATAGACTAAAGTTTTCACTTATCTGACCCAAAAAGTTGCTTGAGAAATCTTTGAGCAATGCAGTCACTGAGAGGTTCGAATTTCGCCCTCCATGCTGGTAGCCAGTAAACGAGCAACTGCTTGTAGGGTTTTCTGCATCCACTGATAGGAAATGAATACTCAGTGTAAGGATTTGTTGACTCTAACGGTTCTGACAAATTTTATTTCGTGCTGTTGTGTATGAGTTCAAGACCAAAAACGAAAATGCTGCGAGTTTTGTTCCGCAGCTTGTCCCCCTGTTATAAATAAGAATATTTATTTAGAAGCTATTGTAGGTCAGGCTAGATTTAATGTAGCCATAAGGTTGATACAGAGGATGAGATCTATGCTACAACCCAGACAAATCTGATACTAAAATTTACTTTTTCTTTGTTGCAACTTGCAAATCAGTAATGGTTTGAAAATTGGTAGTGGAGAAAACAATTGAGCCGAAAGATGAAAACCATCAAGCCGAGATTTATTAATAGTCCGATCCTTTGCAGAAACTACAAGTAACAATGAACTTTTTTTTTTAATGTAATAGTAATGAATATTCTTGGTCGTTACGGACAGGCTTCACATTCGCCAGAAATTTCCTCGAAAGAAGTAAAAAAAATCCGACAAAGGATATTCAATATATGTTATACACCTCTAAAACTTAGTAATATTTTTACTTAATATACACAGTGTAATTTTTCGACAAAGATTGACCACCCTTCTAAGACATGTAGCTTCGCCTCTACTGCTTCATCTTAATTGTTATTTGGACAAGTAAAAGTTCTATCTTCATCCATGTCAATAGACAAATGACAATATTTTGTATTTAAGAATAGGGAAAAAAATTTAAACCACTTATGCCTTCATGTAGTTATTTTCTCTTCAAAAGGCCACCCTTAATCCCCCAGTCCCCGCACAAAAAAAAACACGTATTTTACTGAATTCATGACCTAACAAAAGTATCCTGCTCAAATATACAACAAAGTCACCTCCATAACATTTATCTACGTACAAGCTCGAGCTCTAAGCGGAAGGTTTCAACTAAAAGACCTAAACCATCTAGCAAAGGAGACTCCTAAGAACATCAATAACACTAGATAAACAAAAAGCAAAACAACAAACAAGAAGGATATGTAAAGGGGGGCAACTGCATACAGTATTTACATCCATTGCTTTTCGTGTATACACTCATAAATACCTCAAAATAAAAACCGAATATATCCCTCCTTTAACCGACATAAGGGAATGTCACGCAATAATGTACAAATCTAGCGGTTCCTGTCCGTATTCCTCCATCTGCCAATGTGTCAAAGCTGCTGATCTTCAAAGACTTTAGGTGTGTGATTTGAGGTGCAAACAACCCAACCACATTGATCCCTGTAAACAGGGTAGCACAAGCTTGACCCCAGATTCAACAGATCATGACTCACATCCCGGAAGAGACTGAGCTGAAGCAAATGGTGAAAAGCTAGTGGTCGACTCACTATGACGCAGAGGGTTTGGGTACCTACTTGAGGAGCCAATATAACTCGACGAGGCATTTCCTGGACTAGGAACATATGGAGACATGTATCTTGAATTAAGAGGAGATAGCCCCAATGAGTGAGAGGAAATCAAAAAAGTAGATGCACGAGATCTCTGGGAAGATGCATTTTGAAGGTCAAGTGAACTGCGACTTATAGTAAGATGAGGAGACTGATTGTAGGACAGAAGTGACTGGCGGTTATAAGGAGTAGTAGAGATTGATTGAGGACGAGAAACTGAAGGGGATCGGAATGATCCTCCTGGGCCTATTTGTATTGCTGATGACGATGAAGCTAAAGACGATGACAATGAAGATAGAGAAGCTAGACCGGAAGAAAGCAATGGTGTGGATTCTGATGCTGGAGGATCTCCATTGCTGGTTCTTGCATCACGTTTACAGACAGGGCAAAACGTTCTCCATGATGTAAGCCAAGCATCAACGCACATAGCGTGAAATTCTGCAAAATTCCGATAGAGAGGAAATCTGATTAAAACACACAGGATATGACAAATATCAACGAATTACTGCCTAAAGTTCTTCCTATTAACTAAAGAGTACGTAAATCCCACATAAACATACTAAATTAGTGCATTTCCTACGAGATAGAATTCTTCTAATTGTAGCCTTTCATTTTCACCATTGTTTGTTGCCTAGAAGTTTGGAAATTAAAATGCTCCTACAGATTCGGTAGCAACTAGCAACAGGCAACAACATTTACATCAGGTTCTGCTAGCATCTTGACAATGATAATCATAATGTTCATAACAGTCAAACAGACCCAGAATATAATTTTGAGACTTACTCAAGACTTTTGTTAAGTGTCCCACATTGTTAAGTCTCCTTATATGAATCTTTGGGAAATCCCTACCTTATGAGCTAGCTTTTGGATTGAGTTAGACCCAAGGTCCATATCTTAACATTGTATTAGAGCCAAACCGATTCCTATTCATTGGGCCCCCATGTTATGTCGTCTTAAGTGCCCCACATTGGTGGAGGAGGAAATGGGTTGTCCCTTATATGGACTTCGGCAATTCTCACCTCATGGAGCTAGCTTTTAGGGTTGAGTTAGGCCCTAGGTCCATTTCTTATCAACTTTCAAAAGTGAAAAGCACAAAAGAGCAACAGGACTCCTGGAAATGTTTCTTCGATGTAATTGCATTATTTATAGCGAATACAAATTTACCTAAAATATCAGAATTTAATGTTTCTCTCCGCTGTCTTAGTTAGAGACTCAGATGGCAGCTTAGTGACTTCTGATCCCTCCCAAAGAAATTAACTCAGGTGACCGACCACTTCCACAATTTTTTTTTCTTCTTTTTGTTAGCAAGGCTTCAGAAACATGATATATTGCAACGGTTTTAGACTATGGTTTTCTGATCCATTTTGACAACACTAATTCCAATTCACTCCTGAAGCAATGTTTTACAGATCTGAATATCTACTCTAAATGCAACGTTTTGTGCAGAAAGTCCTCGGAGTGGAAATGCTGAAATACATACAATTGGTTCAATGCAAAAGTTGTGGTAGAATAATATTTATTTATTAATTTGTATCTCATCCAAAAGATACATGCAGATAACGTTAATGTTTGTCCCTAATAGTGGAATATATTAGGTAACTAACCTTTTGTAGACAGAAAAAACACGAACAGAAGCACACAGGTTAACAGCCAAAGCAATTAACAGCATTGGGAAGAGAGATAAACTTACTGTGCCGGCAGGGAAGAATTCTAAGCTTGTCTCCCACACTATAGTCTTCAAGACATATAGCACATGTTACAGATGTACAATTATCCTCAAGAACTGATGTAAATATCAAACTTGGCATTGCTTTCACCAGACGACTACTCATTCCATGAAATTCACGAACACGTGAGGCCCGCGGCCGTTCTCTTCGAATCCTATGTCTACGGACAAAGAAGCAGGTAGCGAGTACTGCTGACATAGCGAGCAATGAAATGAATGATATAGCCATGATCGACCAGGCAGAGTTTTCAAAGCTCGGGATTATCCATACTTCCACATCACTGTTACCAGCATACTTTGTAAGTTTTTCTCCTGAAGCTCTAGAAACAAATACCGCGAGTATCTTCACACCGGCAGAGTTTCCTGCCACTGTACCATGTGACTAGTTAAGTTAAACACTTTGATTTCAACAGTTCTCAAAACTAGCAAAAGGAAGCAAGAGATGAAAAAGGGCCAGCGGTATAATTGTCTCCTAGTTCCTCAGATACCAGGCATGAAATTTATGACACCACTATATTAAAAAACTACAAGCTAAGCCAAACCAAGAAGATGTATCTGTAATACTGACAAATCAAACACTTGCCAACCAAGATAACATTGTACTTGTTTGAGTTTGCTATAAACTGTTGAGAGATTAATATAACTAATTAAAAGTATGCTCTTTCTAGCAACACAAGCTTTTAGATGAGATGATGCCCAGACAATTTAACGTGGTATTAAAGCAAGAGTGGTACTAGGTTCAAATCCACAGCTACGAAATTAAGAAACATGTTTGGCTGAAAATAAATCAGGCCCATCCACACGTAGGGGGTGGGGGGTGGGGTTGTTGAAAATAATATTTTTAAGTAACAAAAGTATGATCTGTCCAACAACTTAAGCTTTAGATATGAAGGTCACACAATTCAAACATAAACGAACAAGCCGACTTCAAAAATCTTGAAGCTAGTTCTTTTAGTGAGAGGATGGTATCCATTTATACAAAGCACAGTTGGGAAACCTTGTATATAAAACTTGAGCTCGAATCTCACATTTTCATGTAGGCTGTCTACTTTTTGTACACATGGGACTTAAGTCTCAAAACGTCAATAATTTATCACCTTATCTTAAAGATCAGAGTATCAAGAAACACTAGGCAGTGTTAGTGAAAATGTGCTAATTCTTCAAAATGCACTTTTCACCCTGTTATCAGTGCCTAACCAAAAGTCTTCAGCTGAAAACAGACATAACATATGATCATCACTTACCAAAAGAAAACAAAAAAGAAACTTGGACAACTATTATCCTGCCATTTTTTCTTGTTTCTAAAACTTTAAAAATCCTAGTTGAAAAGAAAACAATGGAGTTACTGCTTATTTATTCTTCAATCGACTCTATCAACTAATGCCTACATTATGCAAGAAGAAAGTGCAAGAACATAAAAGGTTGATATACGTCCTCAAAAAGATATCCAGTTCAAGCCACGCAATCAATATGGTCTATTAAGAAGGTAGGAATGATTATACTCATCAAAATATTCATTCATTTATAAGAATACTTTTAGACAACACTACTCTTTACGGAGACAATTAGAAGCCCTTCTCACCCCCAAAAAAAGGACTCCATAGACCTATAAGAAATATTACAAGAAACTTGAAAATAGGTAAAAGCTTTAAAGTTTCTTCATCACGGATCAACTTCTTCCCCTATGTTTAACATTTTATAGCAAAGCTCGAGCAGTTTCTTTGAGTTGTTTAATCTGTTTGCCTTTCCAAGATACCACCTTATTTGTGCCTCAACATATCAAGATTAGCTGACATGATATTAGACTTGAATCAGTTTCAGTGATATTCCACTTACTAATTATCCATAAGCCATTCTCTTGCCACTTACATAACTAAGTATCAAGTAAGATAGCCCACTTGAACCAGAGAGTTTGAGCGAATCAGATTATTTCAACTAAAATCTAAAATTGCCGGTAAGTTGAAAGCACAAAATCAATAATAATATCAAGTAAGAGGAAGAGTTCATTACTTGCAACTAGATCACCGTATTCATCGTCGTAGATAATGGCTGCTTTGAAACCTGCAGCTTGAGCTTGTCTGACTTTATCTTCGAAACTACATCGACCCCTAATTATGAGC